ACAAGTGCATGGATGACTACTTATGTCATAAATAATAATAAAAGATAAATAAAAAAGATAAATAATAAAAAAGACCAAATATTATTAATGAAACTACACAATGATTATGTAGCATTTTCTGACATTGTTAAACCTATTTCACAGCATCAAAAGCATTAACTTTCACATGATACAGCAGGAAAAGGAAAGAGATAAGAAATGGGCAAGGTCATATATTTCTAAATATGTCCAAGGACATATATCAGTTAGAAAATAGAAAAGACTCTTACCTACTGTAAGTTTTGCAAACTCATCTGGAAAATTCTTTTCTAACCATTGTCTGCATTTAGTCACATCAGGCATGTATTCACAGTACTGGAGAAAAGCCATATGAATGTTGTTAGTGGAGGAATGACAAAATACATCACACATACACCAAAACAGGGCATAATAGGATAGAAGGAAATGTGGACAACAAAAAACTAACTCACCTCTGTTGGCAATGAACAGACTGGAAAAAGAAGGGGGGAAAGAAAGAACAGATTACAAAAGGAATTTTTTACTTTTTACCTTTTTACTTACAGGGCTAGTAATTAAATTCCAAATGGTGATTTAAAGTCAGGGATGAGTTCTTATATAACTTCTGGTTATAACCACACACTGACTCAAAAACATTTCTTTGTTGTTGCCACTCTACATTTTAATTCCTCTCTCACTAGACCTGTGCTCACACGCTCTGCATTAGGATAAAACCATCACAGCAAGAGCTGCCAGGGAGGGGGAAGAGATGCCCAAGGTTGGGAAAAGCTACAGAACAAAAAACCACTTCTACCTGAGGCAAAAGAGACACTGAACAAAGTACCAGGTGTTTTGGTCAGCTTTCCTTTCTCCAAGAGCTCCAGTTTCCCAAAGAGGGGACACCCAAACCAACTGTGCAGACTTTCACACACAACAGGGCTGTTTCCTACTGCCCTGCAAATGTATTTCAGCCTGAAGCAAAATGAAATTCCTATCTAAAAACACACCTGTCAAGATTATTCACTTCCTTTTAAATTTCAGCCACATATCTACAAATGGAACGAGTAAAGAATACTTCTAAACACAGTATAGCAATTTAATGTATTCCATTTCTTGCTATCATACTAATGCTCAGAGGCTTTTTTCTGTGCTGATGGCTTTAGTGGATTCCTGCAGGAAGAGATGTGTGCTCCCACTCCTTTCACACCCAGGAAGCTCCCAGGACTTGCCTCCGCAGTAGAGGACCCGCAGGGGGTAATCGGCGTCTGACCTGGCACCGCTCCTGCCATCCCCTCTGCAGTCAGGGACCACTGGCTCAGCCACATCTGTGGCCATGTCACAAGCCTGGAGGTCACAGGGTGAGAGAATCAGGACCCAAGGGCTGGGTTTAAGTCAGTCACATCCCTCCCAACTCAACAAGAATGCCAGAGGAAAAAGGTGAGAGTGTCAAAAGAGCGTGAGAGATCATGGAGAAGAAAATGGGAGTCAAAAATAATGAAAACATGGGGAAAACTGCTACAAAGGACACCAAGCAGTACTGGAATTCTAGCACATAAGGGGAAAGAAGCCAAAGTGCCACAAAATGAAGAAAGACCTTTCAGAAACCTGCATGGAATCACAGAACACACTGGGTTAAGGACATTGTGAAGTATCATGTTAAATCAGTGGCACACGAACGGTGGGGGCACAGGTACCTCTCGCATATTAGCAAAGGAAAGGGTCATTTAAATCAGTGCCTGAAGAGTCACAGTCTGATCCAAGAACACTGGGGAAAAAAACAAAAACCAGAGCATAAAAAAAGGAAAGCAAACTCAAGCCACTAATGGATTTAATAGTGGTTTACACACACACGTTTTCAAGCAAAGGACTTAGAAGACAGGAGTCAACAAGGAAAGAGTCTGGAACACACAAGAAATCCCCCAGGACGATGGGAACAAACAGGGTATGTGTGAGGGAGCTTCGGATGTTGTACAAGCTATGCTGAGCAGTGAGGAATGCTGAGGGAAAATTCCAGAGGTGGTGGGTTCAAGGTAGGGAGACAAGGACAGGCGGTAGATGGGCACAGTGCGGGTGAGGATGTTGAAGTGCTCATGAAGACCCCAAACAGACGCGGGGGGGTTGCTGGGCGGTCAGGAGGAAAAGGCGAGGGTGTGTCGGGGGAAGGGTGCTGGGACATCAGGCACGGGGGAATCACGGACACGGGGGGAGCTGGGGGGGTTTGTGGAGGCAGAGCTGAGGGGATGGGGTAAGCCGAGGGGACGCGGTTCGGGTACCTGAGGAAGGGCGGGCTCGCAGGGCGGGGCGATGCTGGTGCTGACGGAAAGGAGGGCGCCAGGAGGATGCTCGGTACAAGCACCGGGGGGGATCGCTGCGAGGGGCGGCAGCGCCGCGGCTCCGGAGGAGAGGGAGCGGGCGGGTGTGGGAGCCGCCAGGCAGGAGCTGAGCGGAGCGGGGCGGGGGGACCCGGGGGCGGTGTCGGTGTTACCGGAGGCCCCTCGGGCCGCGGCGGGTCCCGGTCCCTCACCGCGCGCGCACGTGCGCCCGCCCCAGCGCCGCCGTCTCGCGAGAGGGGCGTGCACGGTTTGACCCCGCCGGCTCGCCGTACCGCGGCGGGCAGGACCACGCGCTGAGCCGTCACGGGTTCAGCCGAACTACGGCGAGCCGCAGCGGCCACTTCCCGCCGGGCCGCCGCAGCCATGCCCCGGTACGCGCAGCTGGTGATGGGCCCGGCGGGCAGCGGGAAGGTGAGCGGGGAACGGCGGGGAACGAGGGGCGGCGGGAGCCTCCTGACGGCTCCTGACGGCCGTGTGTGCCTTGCAGAGCACGTACTGCTCCACCATGGTGCAGCACTGCGAGGCGCTGGGCCGCGCCGTGCAGGTGGTGAACCTGGACCCGGCGGCCGAGCTCTTCAGCTACCCCGTCATGGCAGGTGAGCGGCGGCCCCCGGACAGCCCCGGGCACCGCCGGGCTCCAACCGCACCGTGGGTGTGCTACCGGACAGGTTCTATTGCCCTAAAACGGAGCCCATGCAGCAGTAGGGGAAGATGTCGGAAAACCGTTTCAAGAAAATAGTGTGTGATCCTTATATCAGTGAATAATTCCATTCCGGTACCAAGTAGTGCTTAGTGGCTATGTCAGGGATTAATGCAGTACCGGGATAGCTCCCTGCATCAGTGACTGTTGCCCTGTGCTTAATCCCTGTATTTACCTTCAAAAGTGATTCATATGTACTGGTAGATGCCTCAGTTTTGAGAGCAACAGCTGTGTTCGTGTCTGAACAAAGATGATAAGAAAAGTGCATCTTGGCCTGGCCACATAGCTGAGATGCTCTCAGGAGAAGAGATCCATTAGAAGATCCAGGACCATAAGAGGAAGATCTGGGGAATGAGATGTTTCCCAGACAATCACCAGGAACCCTCAAAAGACACCCCCCCAAATAAGTCTGGGGAAGTATTTAGCATATATTAATTCGGGAAATGAAGGAATTTGTGTAGGTTCCATGAGCATAACCTGTTTTGTTTGGCTGCTGGCTGTGCCTGGGAGATCCCCCTGCAGCCGGCATTGCTGTAAAGTCGTGTTGGTTTTCTCAGCTGCCAAACTGCCTGCAGAGTTCATTTCCTGGCTTTGGTGACGTTTGTGTTGTCGTAGACATCCGCGAGCTGATAGAAGTGGACGATGTCATGGAAGATGAGTCCTTGAGGTTTGGCCCCAATGGTGGCTTGGTGTTTTGCATGGAATACTTTGCCAATAACTTCAGCTGGCTGGAGGAGAGCCTCGGGCACGTGGAGGATGACTATGTTTTGTTCGATTGCCCAGGTAAACACACGCCAGTGTTTTGGTATCGTTCTTCATAAGGATTGGAAAATTTGCAAATTGGAAAATCTGGTTGTAGGTGGTGGTGATAATTCCCATTTTGTTGAGCTATTGATTGTTGTCAGAGTCACTTTCAGGTGTCTCAGGAAGGAACTCGGTCCTGGGCTGATGTGGGTGACTGCACAGATGTTTGGTAGAATCATGAGCTGTGGAAACTGCAAACTAACACTACCTGGAGACCAAAGGAGGAAAAACCCCCTTTTATTTCTTTTCCACTTAGCCCAAACACAGCCAGAGCTGCCTGAAAAGAGGGTGCTTTCCTTATCAGTTTTTATTTAAATGCAATTCCCATGTCTGCATAAAACTGTGGAGTGTTCCTGTTTGCTTCACATTCCTACCTGTTAATATCCTGAGTGTATCCCAGGTCAGATTGAACTCTACACGCACCTGCCAGTGATGAAACAGTTGGTGGAGCAGCTGCAGCAGTGGGAATTCCGTGTCTGTGGAGTTTTCCTTGTGGATTCTCAGTTTATGGTGGAATCTTTCAAGGTATACGTTTGAAATCTGTTGGTAAAGTTCATATTTATAAAGAACAACAAGTCTGAGCCATTCAGGGAGCTGGGTTTGCCCAGAGGAAAAATTGCCAAGTCCAGGGGGATCTGGTTGCTGTCATCAGCTGCGTCAGACACAGGACAGCAGCAAGGACAATCCCAGATGGATGTAAAGACACTGCAAGAGTGGTCAGACTGGGACAGGCACAGAAGGGACGAGCAGTGAGTGTTCATGGAGTCAAACCCCAGAGTAGCCTGGTCTGACCTGGCAGTGCCCCTGTTTGAGCAGCTGTAGGAGCCAAACAACCTCCAGAAGTCCCTTCCAACCTAAATTCTTCTCCACAAGAGCTTCCTTAGATCCCAAGAACAAGCAGGTCACTTTTCCCATTAGCAGTAACTATGCCAAGAAGGGTTTGACTTTTCTTAATGTCCTTTTCAGTGGCAGATCCATATTTGAGGCTCCAAAAATTGAGAGAGTACTTGGAATCTCCTTTTTCCAACACAGAGAATGATTCCTCATATGGCTTTGTGTCCATGTTCCATATATTCATTACTAGATTTGGCCTGTGGTTGAGTGTCCTGTGTGTTTGTGTTGTGTTTTTCTGTACTTTAATACATTATTTTTCATCCTCTTCAAGTTTATTTCTGGAGTCCTGGCAGCTCTCAGTGCAATGATATCTTTGGAGATTCCACAAATCAACGTCATGACCAAAATGGATTTGCTGAGCAAGAAAGCCAAGAAGGAAATAGAAAAGTAAGCTCCAAAACAATATTTACTCTGTAGTAAGTAATTATCTTAGATCTTTTGTGTCATTCTGAATGACAGACTTTCAGTGTTGATGATGACTTTGTTTCTCCAGGTACTTGGATCCAGATATGTATTCTATGATTGAAGATTCTACAAATATATTGAAAAGTAAAAGGTTTAAAAAACTGACCAAATCTATATGTGGATTGGTAGGTATATTGCTTTTGAGCTGGTACCCTAAAATTCACTATCACTTTTTGCCTCTTTTAACTCAGTTTTTTTATTTTTTCAGATTAGCATGAGATTCTTGATGATACTAATATGATACTCTTGGTATCTGGATTATAGCAGATACATTTTCTTTGAATTCTTTTCTGTTGGCAGTTTTGGGAATTGGATATTGAAACTGTATAGAACTTGGGACTGGTAGCCAGGCGTTCTGAGTGGGGAATTGCCATTGGTTTGCAGTGTGACTGCAGAATGGTGTTTTAGAGGTTCAGACAAGTGTGGTTTAAGGAAGTTGCTTAGAGTGCTGTGGTTGAGAATGAACTTTCTGCATTTCCCTACCAACATCCTTTGAATCCTTCCACAGATTGATGATTATGGTATGGTTCGATTCCTGCCTTTGGATCGCTCTGATGAGGAAAGTATAAACATCGTTCTGCAGCACATAGACTTCACCATTCAGTATGGAGAAGATCTGGAATTTAAAGAACCAAAGGTAAGAGAAGATGAAAAATTGTTGGTGAGAAGATGAAAAATTAGAAAGTATCTGTAATATGAGTTGTAATATAAATATGTTCTTTGTTTTGCTAATGAATTATTGTCTTAGTACTGTTCAAAATAAGCCATATTTAGTCTTTCAGTGACAATGCTTCTATCATCTTCATTTAGTTATAAAAGTGAAATTATTTAACATCATCTTGCATATCCAGATTGCTCAAATGGTTGTTTAGAAGTATTGCTTTGGTTTTCAAAATTAACAGAGTTTAAACCTTCAAATGTCAGAAAGGACCACTGAGATCACTAAGATTTTTTTCCTGTATGACTGTTCAAAGTCCCCTGATGATTCCTGTGTTCAACCCAGGACAGCTTACATTTTCTGGGGTTTTTTTTTGACAGGAGTGTGAAGAAGATAAATCTGCTATTGTGGATGAATACTTTCAAGATCGTGTGGATGAGTAAAAACATGTTCAAACTGGGAAGAAAAATACTTCACTTTTGGTAAAAAATAAAAACTAAAAAAAAAACCCCTGAACTTCTACACAAACACACTTGATGTTTTATCTGTAAAATAACTAATATTTATAGTGGAGAGTGAGTTACATGACCTTGTAACTACTTTAATAAACAATTTTTTTATTATTATGCTTGTGTGTGTTATAACATTCATAGACCAGTGTTAGTACATACAAAAAAGCAGAGCCAGAAGTGGGCAAGAGGTTCAACAGACCAGCAAGTCCTGCATATCTAGAGGTAAAGGGCTCAGAAAAATCTGTATGTGGCAGGTCTTGATCTGGGTGAATTAAACCACTCAAAAGTTGGGGAAACTACTGTGCTTTAATTCACCTCCAGACTGCCATTGGGACGAGCCGTGCTTAGGGTGTGTTGAAAGGAAAAACCCCAGCCCTGCAGTTGCGTTTTTGTGACTCACCTTCCAAACCTCTCCATTTTTGTTTCCCTGACTCATGCCGGGAGTCAGCTACCAGGGGATAAATTCAGCAACGCTGGGTCACAGGGAAGGTAATGGCTTGGTAGCAATTGGAGTGTGCACCTTAAAATATTCTATTCCTCTGAACACAACGCGTTTGGACCCCTCCTGTGCTTCCTTACACGAAGTGCCCCGTGCCGCTGGCTGGGCTGTGCTGGAAACGCACAGGAGAGAAAACCAGCTGCGAGCGAAGCATCCCGGAACCCCTTCCCCGCTGCCTCCCGGGGTCCCCTCCGGTACCGGCAGTGCCCTGGTAGAGCGGCGCTTCCCCTGGCCCTTTCCCCGTCCGGGCAGTGCCCGGGCACAGCGATGCCTCCCGGGATCCCCTCCCGGTGCGCTGCCTCCGGGGCGGTGCACGGCTCCCGCTTCCCCTCCTCGCACCGCCTCTGCCGCTGCCTCATTTCCTGCAGCGTAGGCGGAGGAGGAAGCTCTGTGCCCGCTTTGCCGCCCGGTTCGCCCCGCTCCCCTCCCGCCCGGCCCAGCCGAGCCGCCTCCTGCCCTTCGAGATGCCGGTGAGCGGCTCCGCGGCCGGCGCTGCGCGGCCCCGGCAGCGCGGGCAGGAGGGCGCGGGGCGGCGGGGCCGGGCCGGGGCGGCGGCCGCGATCCCGGGCCGGGAAGGGGGCTCTGCTGCGGGGTCTGACCGCGGGCACTGCGGGGAAAAAGAGGGGCTGTAGCTGCGGGGAGCGCTGCTGACAGCGGGGAATGGCTCTTAAAGGGAGGCTGCTGCAAGGCCAGCGCCCTCCTCTTCCTCTTCCTCTTCCTCTTCCTCTTCCTCTTCCCCCTGCTGGGGATCCACCCGCAGTCGGGAGGGTGCGAGTCCTGGCATCAGCGGGGGAGAGGGAGGTCACAGCAGGGCTTTGCTCTGGCTTTGTTCACACCACCGTCCCCTCAGTGAAATAAACTGCTTTTTACGCCCAGCCTCCCCCAGTCACATCCTCCTCTGCCCCCCACAAAAGGTGGGTTGTGAGATGAGGGATTCCCAGTGACCTGGCACAGCACCCAGGAAACATTTTGGGAAGTGCATAAAACTAAACTCATCTGTTTAAAATTTGTTTTCCAGGAAGAATTTGTTAAATGCAGAAATCTGGTTTATTTTTCACTTAAATCAGTTTTGTTGGGTTTTTAAAGCTGCATTAATCCTGGCTTTATTTATAATTATCTAGTATTAATAGCCAGACATGGAAATAAATTACATATTTTTTAATGAGCAACTAACTTCCAGTGCAATGCCCCAAAATTCAGGCAGGTGAGCAGGGCTGTCACCCCTTGGTGCTGGCAGGATGGGGCCAGGCAGCCTGGGAATGAACTGTGCCTGCAGACCAATAACAGTGGATTTTATCCCATCTCCCACCACTGCGACTGCAAGTGATGGCAGTGGTGCTGCCTTCCTGGCATTCACCAGAATGGCACCAAGACCTGGACCTAAATAGAAAATGGCAATTGTTTGTGCAAGGAAAAAATGCTGGAGCATCATAATGAATGAGACTGTCACTCCTGTTTGATGAAGACACGGGGGGGACACGTGATTTGGATATGGAAATGTCTGTTTTCAGTAGGATCAATAACCAGCTCTCCCTGCCTCTAGGCTTACCACTCCACTTTAATGGACTCAGACACCAAGCTAATTGGGAACATGGCACTGTTACCCATCAGAAGCCAGTTCAAAGGCCCAGCACCTCGAGAAAGTAAGTTTGTAATAATCTCTGAATTACTGGATATAGCTCATCATCTCAGGGGTTGCTCTAAGCCAGCCCCAGCAAGAGTGCTGAGGAGAGTCACCAGTGGGAAATGGAAGGCTTTGCAGTTTAGAGAGGTGGAAAGTTTTCAACTACTTTAGTCGTGCAAATCGTAGAAAATAATTGTGCACAGATAATTGTGCACAGATAATTGTGCTCCGTGTTCTGCCGAATTAAGAGTTTCAGTAATCCAAGCCTCTGTTTGCTGTTTTGGTGCTTCCCCCGGTGTCTCCCTGTGCTCCTGAGCAGGGTTTTGAGGAGGCTGTGCTGGTGTGAGGCCTCTGTGTCAGAGGAAGTGAGGTTTAGCTACAGAGAACTCGCGCTTCGGGCTGCGGCTGGCGACGCTCGGCTGCTCTGAGGGATGGCAGCACTTCAAGGTGTGGGGCTTCAAGAACTGAAATAAAATTCCAGGCACCACAACAGGGCCCTCAGGCAGCCAGGTACAGATTCCCCTACAACACATGAACTCCCCAGGCGTGGCATTCCCCGGAATGGGTTCGAAAAGGGAAATGTAAAGGAAGTGTTTCTGGATGTAAGCAGTCGTGGATGGTAGCAAAAGTCAGATTGTCACTGTGTTCTGCTCCCCTCCTTTATTTGAAGAGGAAAATGAAATCTGAGTGATTGTGCTGGTGTGCTTTCTCCAGAAACATTTTTTCCTATCATTTCATGATGTTAAAACTCTGATGAGTTACTCAAAAGTGGTAGAAAAGTGGGGAACTGCTGAATTGCTGCTGTTTTGTCACAGGGGAAGGAGAAGGGAGAAGCTTAAATATTACATACAGTCTGAACTCGTGGTGTTTCAGAAGTTTTCTGTTATGTGGTGCTAACTTCTGCTTTTTGTAAATACCATGGTTTTGCTTTTGCAATAATCTTTATGTATTTCAGTGAGTTATGACAAATGTAGTGTAAGTGCATTACTTAACTCTGTATCTCTTTTTTATTAGCTAAGGACACAGATATTATAGATGAAGCCATCTACTACTTCAAAGCTAATGTTTTCTTCAAAAATTATGAAATTAAGGTAATTTTTTGAGATACTGAGCATATTCTAGTTCTTTGGAGAGTTGGTGCTGTGAATATAAATTTATTTTCAGGGAAGTAATTCTAGAAGATCACAAAAACTCCCCTTCCACTTAATCTTTAAAGCTGGGTAAATGTCATGAATTGCAATTCTCTCTCTCATGGGGAAACTATAGCCCAAAATGGCTTGAATTCATTCCTGTTTAAGAATTTATCAGTTCCACAAAGTCCTGTAATCTAAGAGTTTCTGCTCTTGTTTTGCAGAATGAGGCTGACAGAACCCTCATCTATGTGACCCTCTACATTTCTGAGTGCCTGAAAAAGTTGCAAAAGGTAAGAAAACCGAATTTCTGTGCAAGTGGGAAACAGTCTGTTCTAAGGATTGTTCCAAGGAAAGGATTTACTGATACTCTCCTTTCAGGGGAACAAATAATCCTGTTCACCCCAGTCCCAGTTGTCAGAGCCTCAAATACTCCAAGGCTGTGGATGTGCTGTTTTGATCTTCTTGATGAGTTTTGATGTTCCAGATTTGTAAAATATTTGGGTCTGATGCTGTGTCAGCTTTTGTTCATAACTGCTAACCCATTGTTTGCCTGGTTCTTCCAGTGTAACTCCAAAGGCCAGGGAGAGAAGGAAATGTACACACTAGGAATCACTAACTTCCCAATCCCAGGGGAGCCAGGCTTTCCACTTAACGCCATTTACGCCAAACCTGCCAACAAGCAGGAGGAAGGTAAGGCTGACCCAGGGCCTCACACTTTATTAACTGCACTTTTGTGGCTGCAGTTAGAAAAATTACTGTTAAAACTAAATGTTCTAAATCTGCAGTCTGTCTTCTGAAGGCAGCACAAGCTGGATTTTCTGACCTTGAGGATTCCCCTGGTTCCATAAATTGGGCAAGCCAGCGGGGAGTCCCTGCAGATGTGAAACTCCCTTTCTGCTTTAAGCAGTGATGTCTGATGCCTCCCTGTTAAATCCAGTTTGAGCTGGTGCTGCCCAGTTTACCCTGGTTTTGCTGTGCTGCTTTCAGAGGTGATGAGAGCCTACCTGCAGCAGCTGAGGCAAGAAACCGGCCTTCGCCTTTGTGACAAAGTGTTTGATCCTCAGAGTGACAAGCCAAGCAAGGTCAGAGTTCAGGGGCATCACCACAGAATTAATGAGAGGTTGGGGGTGTTTTTTCAGCCACGTGTGGAGAGAACTGAGATGATGGGGTGAGGGTCAGGGGTGGGTAACTTCAGCCAAGCCTGTTTTTACAGTGAAATAGCAGCTGCAAGTTATCAATAAATTTAATCTGATGTGATGTGACAGTGAATGCCAGTTTGGGTTACTTTCAAAAGCAGGGAAGTAATAAGAGGTGTCTGGTTCAGCTCTTCAAAGCACTGCACATCTGCTCTTGGCTGAGGTTGCAAATGGAGCTCACAAGCATGAGAGGTGCTGTTTCACTTCCCAGGCAGCTCTGATTTGAGAGCTGCTTTGAAGTCGATTGTTTTGCCTCATATCCAGATTGAAAAAATCGCTAATCAATGAATGAGTCACCTCCTGAGTGTTCACATGTTTCATGTGCAAATGTGACTGCATTTAATGTCAAAATTACTTAGGCTAATTTAGTTTCAAAGGCATAGCTTCCTGATGCATCCCTCATTAATGACTGTATTGGGATAAAATATAATAAAAGTAAAATAAGAGAAAGTAGAATTTTTCATTTTAATTCAAAGTCCTGTAATATGAACTAATTGTGTCCATTCCTATTGTCTTGTTCACCTCAATTCCAGTAGAAACTATGTGTAAAATGGAAGGCTTAATATTTGTTGTGTGTCAGAGATTGAATACTTTAAAGTCAATGGAAACCACTTCTGCAGATTTTCTGACTCTCTACTTCCTTCTGCAGTGGTGGATCTGCTTTGTGAAGAGGCAGTTCATGAACAAGAGTCTCTCAGGCCCTGGGCAGTGAAGGAAAGTGGCAACAACTTTAAACATTTCCACAGCAAGATGTTCAAGTCTTTTGCCTTTGTTTTGGATACATTTTGTACCAAGGAAGAATGAAGCGGTTATGAAGTAAAAAAAAAAAAAAAAAAAAGAAAAAAAAAAAAAAA